GCTGTCTGCGGGCATGGACGATATGTCCGAGGGCATGGGGAGGAAGCGGCCGCCGTCGGTGGACAGGTCGCTGTGGTTGGGCAGCAGCTCGATGTCGACGGGCGGCAGGGAGGAGATGTTGGAGAGGTCGGAGTAGGCGACGGTGCGCGAGTCGTAGAGCTCGGAGTACGACTTGCTGGTCGCGAGCGAGAGGCGCTTGGAGTACGAGGGCGCGTGGGAGTTGCGCTTGGCGGACGTCTGGGTGATCTGGACGTTGTCGCTCGCGGTCGAGTGCCTGCTCTTGCGAGACGAGGGGGTGACGCGGACGCGCACGCTGCCTCGCGAGCCGGCCTGGCCTTCGTCCTTGCCGGACTCGAAGTACTCAATGAGCAGCGACGTCTGCGAGGGGAACTTGCGGGAGAGCCTCGCTTGGCCGCGGGGCTTGGTGGGCGAGGTGGTGTTGATGGTAATGGGGGTGCCGTCGTCGGGGACGGAGTACGAGGTTCTGTCGGTGCGGTTGGAGACGTCGGTGTTGATTTCGTCTATGTGGTAGGTTGATTCGTCTGCGGAATCGAGAGTCGAGGGTTCAGTAGGTGCCGGAAGAGGAGGTCGTTCTGTATCTAAAACCATCGTAGAATCTGAAAGATTCTAGAAGGCGGGGTGGGTGACGGAAGACATGTCCGGCGCCGTTTTCCTCGAGGACGTTATGGGAGGGAAATGATGTTGGCGATGGTGTGGGTGCAGGGCCGCACCGTGGCTGTTTACGTTTGCGCAACCTGGATGTTGCTGGTGCGCGAACAGCGAGGGCGGGTGTGCGAGAGGAGCCGTGATAGCGGGCGTGAACGGGACGGGGGTCGTGAACGGGGACGTGAGAGGCCAGTTGACCGTCGAATGCGTGCAGCACAGCTCTGCGGCGTGCGACGCTCTGCGACAATGGCCGCCGACGTTCAGGCTAGCCAGCGTCAGACACCTACTCAGCAATGTGAGAGGTCACGGGACTCACCAGACCAGGCAGCACAACAGCTCCCGTCTATCGCAGGTAGCAATGGCCCTGCAGCTCCGTCGCGCTCGTCGCTGGTGGAGAGGCGGTCCTGTGGTGGTCGCCAGCTCCAGCTGTGGTGGAGAGAAAGGCTGGGTCACGGCTGGAGAACAGCAATCCTTGTCGGCGCTAACACGGGCTGGAGGTGAGGCTTGTTGACCTTGCAGATCGAGGATGGCGTGGGTGGGCGAAGGATTATTAGAATTATTACAATTATCCTAGTGCAATAGTACGAATGGGTATAGAGTTATGAAAGATGATGTAAAGGGCACAGAGTGAATAGAACCACCTGCGACAGGTCGCGTCGTATCAACCAACGATGGGCTACGGGCGATACATCATGACTTGTCTGTCCCCAGCCACTCGGCCGCGTCAAGACCATACAGCGTGCCTGGTGTCCCTCGTGGACGCCGTTGGCCATGCATCCCACTGCAAAGTGCGCGACGAATGCCAGCCTCTACCGTCCCTCCACCGGCTGCCTGTAACAAAGATGGCTGGTCGCACCAAAAGCAACCACGTCGCCTATTCTATTCTTACCCCTCCCGTCTTCCCGCGCCTCCATGCCACAATCTCAAAATCAGGCTCTTGAGATTCCATGTTTTTTGCTGCTTTTCCAGCCAGCTTCACAACCTCCAAATGCTCACCGCCAGACTGTCAAACATCCGTCATGGGCGGCCGTCTCGCTGCTACTAACTACATAGCTAGCTAGCTTCTAGCACCCGTGTCGTTACCAGGGGTGATGGTGCCGCAACCCCCGTGGGCGGCCGCATCCGCTCTCCTGTCTACGCGACGTCATTGGCCCGCCAGCAGCGAGAGCGACTTGCCAGCGCATCCCCCAGGGCTCCATACAAGCCGCGGCGTCTGCACTTTCTGCATTTTGGGAAACTCGTAGGGCTGGCTGCCGGGCACAACTCCGTCAAGTAATATACCAGAAGTGACCTTATGCTAAAGAATGAATATTCCGAAGGATGCAGACTTGGTGAACTGGCAGTTGACGCGGCCGCAGCAATGTTGCGCTTCTGCTGCCTCAGTGGTTGCGCGCCCGAATCTTGCTAGGGCTCACCGGTTTGGTGGCGCTGCTGTACGGGCAATCTTCACGACATTCATTTTCGCTTACAGGTAGAATAAAGCTACCAAGTACGTCATACATATCAGGGACAGAGTTGTTTGAAGTCCAAGGTCCATATCAAATTGACACATTTCGCTTCTGAAGTTACCGACATCCCCATGGGTGCTCAATTGGATCATGCACAGCTGTAAACCCTAGATCATGGCCCGTATGTGATTTTGTACGCCAAACTCCCATCAATGCCTCTCAACTATTACCTCAGAACCTCTTGCCTCCCCTCATCGGTCGTCGGCCCTGCGCAGGCTGACTTCCATATGCTCTCCTTCCCTCCACCTTCTTATCGCGGCTCAAGCTCGCGCCAAGACTGATGTCGATGCGCGGTGGTGTTGAGAAACCGAACGATTTGGCCACCTTGACGAGATCCAGCTTGTGCACGTCGAACACCGACCGCAAGCTATGTGAAGCATACGACTGGAGGTACGACCGGTAGCCATCCTTTGCGCTCTTGTTGAGGTAGTAGTTTTTGCTGATCAAGGCTTCCAGCTGTGACTGGATGTTGAGGATCTTGTTGGAAGGCAACTCAAACTCAACCAGCGGCACGCGGTTCTCTTTGAGGAGCTTGAGGAATCCAACTTCCGATGGCAAGAGGAACATTAGACTTCTGCCCTTGCCATTTGCACCTCGGGCCGTTCGACCGACTCTGTGGATGTAGTCTGTAGACAAGTCAGTAAATGATCATGCATTGCGTGTGGTCTAGCTTACCTCGCGGGTCATCAGGTGGGTCGAACTGAATAACCCAATCCACCTCAGGAATATCTAGTCCTCGCGCAGCAACATCGGTGCAGATGAGTGTACCGCTCTGTGCATTCACAAACTCGAAGAAGCGGTTCGTTCGCGCCTGTTGTTTGAGCTTGCCATGCAGTCCAAGCACAGGCAGGTCGATGTAGTTGAGCAATTCGCTGTAGAAGTCGACAGATGCGCACGATGACAAGAAGACGATGACCTTCTTCTTCTGGTGTTTCTTGAGGAAAGAAAACAGAAGCCTGAACCTGGTGTCTGAATCGCACAGAACGTAACCCTGCTCCAATCCCTGGACCGTGCTATGCTCGGCACGGTGATCGACGTTGATGTAGAGGGGGCCGGCCTTGAGCGATATCCTTGCGAGATCCTCAACCTTGGTGGTCTGTGTTGCGGAGAAAAGCATAGTCTGACGCTCCGTGGGCAAGATCTTGATGATCGACCTCATCTCGTCTTCGAAACCGACTTCGAGAATTCTGTCTGCCTCATCAATGATGAGCGACCTCAAGTTCTTGAAGACAAAGCCCTGTGTGTTGTGTAGATGGTCGAGGAGGCGCCCGGGAGTAGCGATGATCAGGTTCAAGCCCTTCCTGATCTTCTCGGCTTCTGCGTTTCGGTTGGCACCACCGATGCAGATACCAAACGTCTGGCTATGTGGCTCCATGAGCTCGCGCGCTACACCGAAGATCTGCAACGCCAATTCTCTGGTCGGCGATACGACAATGACTCCAGTTCCGTTGCGCGGCTTGAACCGCAGCTGCGAGAGCATCTCGATGGCGGGGATGAGGAAAGCCAGTGTTTTTCCACTGCCAGTCTTTGCCGCTCCAAGCACATCCCTTCCTGATAGCAGAGGTGGTATAGCCTTCTGTTGGATCTCTGTCATGTTCTCGAAACCCATGTTCTTGATAGAGGTCATCGTTCGTTCGCTCAGGTTGAGCTCGTCGAATCGCGTCGGGTTCGCTGAGGGCATCGAGGTGCCTGAGGGAAGATCAACGGCATTGCTGCCCGTGCCAGAGGGTAGTTCGGCAAGCTCGTCATTGTCGCCTTCATCGTCTTCCTTGTCGCTGTCGTCGTCTGCAGCACTGGCTTCTGCAACGACTTCCTCTACTGCCGCTTTTTCTTCCTCGTCACTCTGTTCCTCCTCAGAAACATCCTCCACCACAGGCTCTTCGACGACAGGTGCCTTGTCTTTGCGCGCCTTCTTGCGCGCTTTGGTAGCGTCTACGCCATCATGCGCTGGTGCGATCGCTGGCTCAGCGCTCTTTTTGCTCTTGTGAGATCTCTTCCTCTTGTTTCCCGACTCAATCGCGGCGGGCGACATGGTGTGTAGTGCGTTTGGGGGTGCTGTGCAATGGCGCGAAAAGTTCGACTTGAAGCGCACCGGTTTGTCAAAAGTTCTAAGACCGAGAAATAATTATCGCGCTAGAGACCCTGGCCTGGCGCACAGACCAGTTCAGCAGCATGCAGCATCGCCGTGATGTGGGCAACACCACCCAGCTACTCCACGAACATGATGAAAGAAAGAGCTCACCTAGCTGTCACAGACTTCACAGTTGGATGGTGTTAAGGCTGGCGCACATCATCAGGAGGTCTTCTCTGATACCACCTACGCTCCCAGGACGTACGACCCACAACCCACTCATCTGCAATGTTCAAGAAACCTTGGAACTCTCGTATCTCAGCATCCTCATGTTCAAACAAACAAAACACATCAGACGTACCGGGAGTGAAACAAAATCACGCTCAGCATTCACGGACGAACTTTAGCATTTTCCAGAGTCCTTAGCCCGTCATGTGTAAATAGCGTGTACACCATCCTTAGCACTAGCCACACGGCCTGAATGTTGTCCCGAGTTTCTGCACTCCGGACCAAAGACTCAAAAAAACAAAGCCTCTAGATCGCGGACGAAATAATGTAGTTACATGACGATGCCAACTACGATTTTGCAAAGCTGAGTTACTGTGCCAGTGGACTTGTATTACCAATCAAATCGGAGTAGCCGACTTGTATATATATGCCTTTGGAGTATCCTCGAAATCATACAAAACACTACAGTACAACTCACCATCAATCCCAACTCAGACCCATACCATCAATCAACCAACAACACCATCATGGCACCCAAGATCTTCCTGTACACAACCCACCCCCTCCCTCCCCCTTCAATATCCCCCCCACTAACCCCCGCCCAGCACAGGAGGAACAGGCTACATCGGCGGCTCCGTCCTGCACACGCTCGCAACCACGCACCCCGAATACTCCATCACCGTACTTCTCCGCAAAACTCCTGAAACCTTCACATCCACCTACCCCAACATCACCATCCTAACCGGCGACTACTCGAGCACCGACGTGATTACTTCTGCTGCACAGAACGCCGACATCGTCGTGCACAACGGGGACTCAGACCACGAACCCAGTCTCTCCGCCATCATCTCAGGTCTCCTCCAGCGCTCTACTCCAGGCTACCTACTCCACCTCTCCGGCACGGGAATAGTGTCAGACTGGGCCTCCCCATCATACCTGGGACTGCTAAACCCAAAGATATGGTCCGACAAGACTTCTCTGGCTGAAATCAGGTCCTTGCCTCCAACGGCGCTGCACCGCAACACCGAAACCATTTTACACGAAACGGTCGCAAAACATGGGGATAGGATCAAGATAGCCATCATGTGCCCCCCAGACATCTACGGCAAAGGCAAGGGATTAGTCAAAACGCACAGTGCGCTTATCCCCTTTTTCATCCACGCCGCGAAGGGATTGGAGAGTGGGAAACCTTTTTACTACAATCAAGGTGCCAATACGAGGAGTTGGGTGCATATCAACGACCTTATGCGTCTGTACTTGCATGTCGTGGAAGCTGCGGTCTCTTCCTTATCCTCCACCTCAAACTCCAACCCCCAAGATTTCTTCAACGAAAACGGATACTACTTTGCGAGCACGCAAGAGCATTCTCAGATTGATGTTGCGAAAGCAGTGGGGGGCATTTTGCACAAACACGGTGTTATCAAGGATGCGGAACCAGTGCAGATCGGTTTGGAGGAATTGGACGGCATGGCTGCTGTTTATCCTGGGTTTCCAAAGCTCGCGAGGTACTTGTTTGCGAGTAATTCGCGTACGAGGGCTGAGAGGGCGGGTGAGAAATGGGGGTACAAGGGTGAGGCGCCTGGGTTGTTGGAGTGTTTGGAGGGGGATGTGCTGGATGCCATTAGCATGAAGGGGTGAATTGGCAATCACTAGGGATGAGGTAGAACTTGCCGGCAACTCTTGTAGCAGTGAGCTCAACGATGATATAGCAGATGGGAACCAGTCTGTTGGCGACGATGTATCATAAATGACGGGTATACCAGAGGTGATAGGGGTCTCAATGGTCTTCCTGATATCTGTACCGTATGATAATTATTGCGCATGTCGACGACCTCTCAGTAATTTTATACCATCATTGCCTGTGGATTCAGATCGGTACCAAGTCAATCAAGCATACTTATCATTCAATAGATTTTGAGAGAAATTACATGGGGCTCAAATATTACCCAAATCCCTCCACGCTCACGCTCAAACCAACGAGAAGACATCTTGCAACCAACAGATTCGTCCAACCCCACTTATCGCATGCGGCCGTCAAGACCCTGAAGATCACGCTCCAGATCGCTTCCGTTCCATCCACCTTGGTTGAACGCTTCTTGCGGCCTTGGGTCTTCGTAGCCAGCGCGGTCGTAGTTGTTGGGTATCGGGACTTGCGGCGCCTGGTTTCCCCCAGCGCCTGCACCGGGTTGTACGCGCACCATCTGGCGGAAGCGACTGACTTCATCCAGGATCATCTTCTTCATCTCTGGAATCTCCTCGACCACCTCGAACTGGAAGTCGAATGTAGTTGGGCATGAAGGCTCGTCGGAAGCATCGTGCCAGATTTGTAGGTACCTGTGTTCCAGGGCTTCCTCGACTGAGATACGGCTTGAGGGATCAAAGGCGAGCATGCGGTCGAGCAGGTCAAGTGCGTCCGGATTGGCGTTCCTGAACAGGGACTGGAACGAGATCTTCTGCATGTACGGCAGATTGCGGACATAATCTTGCGCACGGGGAGAGCCGATGCGTGAGAGTGTCTCCTCGTTTGGTGTTCCAAGGTAGTGCAGGATCTGGTTCAATTGATCGACGTAGTCGCGGCCCTTGAAGAAGGGCTTACCGCCAAGCAGCTCAGCAAGGATGCAGCCTACTGACCACACATCGACTACGCAGGGTCAGCTTGAGCTCGGCATGTGAAACCATTACGAGAGAGTGACTACTTACTAGCTTTTGTGTAGCTCTGGAAGCTCAACATGATCTCAGGGGCTCTGTACCATCGGGTAGCGACATATTCGGTCATGTATCCTGCGTTCTCCTCAGGGTCCATGGAGAAACCCCTGGCAAGACCAAAGTCGCAAATCTTGAGCTCGCAGTCGGCGTTGACGAGGAGATTACCGGGCTTGAGATCGCGATGGAGGACATTGGCCGAGTGAATGTACTTGAGACCGCACAGGATCTGGTAGATGAAGGACTGGAAATGGGCATCGGTGAGCGGCTGGCCGGACCGGATAATGGCTGCCAGGTCGCACTCCATGAGCTCTACAAGCCTATCAGCACTGTCTCATTGAAACATGGGTGTAGTCCATACCCTCGTATAGGTAGCACTCGTTGAAGTTGTCTGGGCGGGGAATGTCCATGTCGTAGAGACATGTTATCTGTGCGACGGGTTTAGCATGGGGTCGATCGGGGCACTCGGGAGCATGTGTGTCTTACGTTACGGTGGCCTGGCAGGTGTTAGTAGTGTTGCAGCCGGCAGGTGGCATGTCGACTTACCTCTAAAGTGCTGGAGCAGCTTGATCTCGCGCAGAGCACGCTTGGCAAGGATCTTCTTGCTGAAGACGTTGGTGACCTTCTTGATGGCCACGCCCTCGCCCGTCTGGTTGTTGGTAGCCGCACTGGGGGCAGAATCAGCACTTGTTATGCGGCGCGCCGTGGCTCGAGTCGTACCAGACAATGCCGTAGGCACCCTGTCCCAGCTCCTTGGTTACATTGTAGCGCTCGTCGACGATGAACTCCTGGTTGAACACCTGCAAGCTGTCAGTACGCGTGCTCGGCCCTGAATGGCGGATATAACGTTACCTTGAACACTTTGCGGTTGGCGAGGTCGCCCATGGTGGCAGCTGCGGCGGGGTAAGGCTTTTTCTATCTTCAGAGAGGGACGTAAAGAAGGTAACGATTGAAGACGCAGAAGTCGGACAATGTAGACTGTGGAGAAGAAGTGCGGGCGGCAAGCGCACGATATGATATAAGGCTAGGCGCGCGGCCAATGTGATGACTGACAGGAGCTGCTTCGACACAAAGCGGGGCGGCGGCTCTGGCACGGGGCGGGCGGTGGGACAGTCGAGGCAGGCGCAGAGTCTTCACCGGGAAGTCGCCAGCAATAGGAAAGCGATTGACGGACTGGCGATGCAGAAGAGCGGTCGTCCTGTGCCTCGTCGCGGCCTCCGTGAGGATATGGTGGGGTTGGTATCCAGTCGCTGCGCGGACGAGGGGTTCAACTTGGCTGCTTGCGGCAAGGCGCTGCCCAAGGCACCTTCCTCAGACCGCTTCGCCCGCGCCGCTGGCTCTGCCCTACAATCAGGACAATTGCCCGTTGCAGGCCCGCGACCGTTTAGCCAGCCGACGGCCAGCCCGACAGCATGAACGCATGAGCCTAGCGCTTCCACTTGGCTGTCATGCACCTGTACAAATCCATGGTCCCCTCAGGGTCTGCCGCCATGTGCGCGAAAAGCGTGTATTTACACTATATACACTAACAAAACGTGGCTGCTCGTTTCTACCACGTGCCGCCGTCTAGATGGGTATTCAGCCTCTGGTATGCACAAATCAAACTATTCCCTCTCAAACGCCATATCCGTGGTGCCAAGATAGCCCCGCCACTTATGCCAAACAAAATAAACGCCAGTCGTAACGTCGCTGAACAAGCAGCTTTTTGGCCTCATGACTCGTAAGAGAACCGCCGTCGGGAGGCATCCGTAGACCCTTCCAGCGGCGAGACGGGGGAAAGGGGATCGCCATCCGATTCGGCGCGTCGTTCTTCGCGAGCACGGTAGGGCGGCAATTGGAAAAATGTGTCCGAGGCTTCCAAGAAAGCACCGTCTCTTGGTGTGCGTGGTGTAATGGGCGACACGTTGTCGGTTGGAAGCCGACCGCTCACTATCGACACTTCGGACGGGGATATTGGTGCGAGCCTGCGCGACTCTTCGTACGCAGCTGGGGTTGCATCTGGCGTGCCGGTCGGATCTATGCCGTTGTATATCCTCTCGCGTACCACCATGGACTCCTTTTCCGACAGTTGACGGCCGCCTGCCTCGGGAAGCACAGGCATGTCTCCAGGCATCTCATAGATCTGGCGCTCCTCGCCATCTGCCTCATGCACGGCTGATGATCCCTTCTCTTCTGCGCTGGAGCTCATCTCGTGATGCACATGGGATGAGCCAGGTAGCTCCGCCTTCGCGAAGACAGTCACGCCTTCTGTACTACTTCGTACTGGAGACGTCGGAGCCTCCTCTGACACGGGTGGATCCATCTTGGTGACCGCCGCCGCAGCGACATCGGCCTCGTATTGCGCTTTGATGTCTGCCAGCTTGCGCTTGTGCCGCCGCCGCCAGAACCACCACCCAATTGCGCGAAAAATCAGAGCAACGAAGAAGCCACCTCCCACTGCGATACCAATGACTGCCCCTGAAGACAAAGGCTTCTTCTTTGGGGGATCATAGTGCGGAACCGCGTAGGTGGGCGACACGATAGGCATGATTTGTGGAGCTTTGCCAAATGTCCAGTCCACCGCTGACACGGTGAAGTTCTGACGTTCCCAGTCTACGGTCAAGTAGGCTTCCTGCAGGAAGACTCTACCCAGTACCCACTGACGCGCCTCCGCACCTCGTCTGATAGGAAAGTATTTTGTCTTCTCTTGCAACCCTCTATACGGAGGAGTCGCCTCCAAGTCTAGAGCAGCATAGGGCAAAGTGATCTGCAAAGTCGAATCCGTGCTGTATTTCTGGCCGATAGTGATCGTGACACTGGGGTTTTGCGCGACGAGATCCCGGTGAAGCGCATCATCCACAAGGTAGAGATCAGTCTTTTCATCGTACTTTAGTCCAAATGCATCCTCAAAAGCTTGGCATATCTCAACCGGCAGGTAGAGTTCTGCAACCGTCGAATCAATGTACATGGTCACGTCGTCCCGGTTCATGAGGAGGTCGATATCTCCTTTCGACGTGGTATCTGCCGTGATGCCGACGACACCAACCGCCAGGTCGCGCTCATTATCCGGGGCGAAGATGAATGTGAGGTCGTTGGGAATGAGGCGGGAGGCATCGTAGCCGCCAAGCGTGAGACTTCCGAGGACCGTCTGGTCACCTGTGCATCCGAGTCAGTGATTTGCAGCGAGGGTACGTGGTAATGTCTTACGGTACTGGGCGCCTGCCGTGTAGCCAAAAGACAAACTGGGGATGCTCTTCTGGTCGAACAGCGTGGTTAGGTAGCTCGGAACGGATTCATCGAAGACGGAGAAGTTGGTCGACTTGGAATGCACGCCTATATGCCCGAGCCAGAAGTTGGCGGTGACCAAGGTGCCGATCGTGGTGTTCTGAACTGAGGGCCCCATCTCCCCGGCCCTCCCCAGCCCCACCGAATCGAAGCCGTACAATCCATTGCCGACCAGTCCGAGATACTTCTCGATCCACAGTTGGTAGAAGCCCTTTTGCTGCCATGTGTCTGAGTTGCTGCTGTTGAACAGGAAGCCGCGGCTGGTTTCACAATCCGAGTCGAAGACGTTGTATGCTGTAATCTCTCCTGTCACCGGGCTCGTGGTGTTGGTGATGCACGCCATGCGATTGATGGCCCATATCTGCTGACTTGCAGTCGACACAAAGACGCGCACGTTCTCCCCTGTTTCGCCCACGCGCAGAGTAAAGGTATTCCATGAGCCGTCGACTCCTAGCCAGTTCTGGTCCGGCGCAACGGTGACGGGTGCTGGTACCGAGGCGATGCCAGGCAGCAGCTGGAAGTTGGGCGTCTCGGTGATGTTTGTCGGCACATAGTCGGCTGCGGCAAGCAAGGGCAGGAGCAGGGCGGCGGCGAGGAAGGCGCATAGGGCTGTGTGGAAGGCACGATGCCCTCGGAAAGGGACCATGTTCCGTGACTAAGCGGCGCGTGGA